TAACTAGAGATGCTCCGATCGCCAATTTTGGGGCCGGAATCAGTATCGGCCGATACCGATCGCCGATCCGATCGAGTGAGCGGGCGGGATCTTCCATTTTAAAGTGATGTTTAAAACTCAGTTAATGGGGCTCATTCACTGGCGCTTCCACAAACAGCCAACATAATTATTACATTCAAATGAAGTACATTATTCAAGTTTACATTAACTAATAACTTTGGATAATATATCCATAGACTGTATATAAATATATAATAATAACACGGGAGTGTTAAATGTTGTACAATTATGTGCGCCCTTGCTCATTGTGTCCTGCAGAGGGCAATGTTGTCTGCAGTGCGTCCAGGACGTGACGTCACTGACTATACCTTGCACTACATGTGGCCTCTACCTTATCCGTTTAGATGTTGTTTGGATCGAGAGCTGAGCGGCAGCACAACCGCATCTCTCCTACCACGATAAATGAATATGCCTAATGAAGGCTAAAGGAAGCTGTCTACTACTGAGTTCTATTAAAGACCCTGTGAAGTGTGCACCTGTGCATGATCTGTTATGGTAATACGTATAGTAATGACCAAAATTGTCCATTGGAACCCATATCAAAAGATGTTGGAATAGCAACGAATTTGACGAGTTTTGAATTTGCTGAGACTGCCAAGGCACACCCTTCGCCTTCGTGGGCGTGGCTTGCGATATACTGCGTGACGTCATGAGATGGACGCCGCCGCACTGTTTACATTCACCACCGTTCATTTTTTCTCTTTTTCAAAGTCGAATTTCTCAACGTTTTTGAGCTAGTATTTTCCTGGAAAGTGTGTCGGAGTCGACTGGAAGTGATTGCCAATCAAGAAAACCTGACAATGGGGACAGTGAAGAAAGAGGGAGGAAAAACACAGGTGAAACGATGCATTGCGGCTGGCTGTAGTAATGTCAAGTCTGCCGAAGTGGCGATGTTTCTGTTCCCAAAAGATGAAGGCGAGCCTGGCTGGTGTCATTGTTTCGTAGATTCGTTGATTGATCATGATAAATAAAGGCCACTGGTCGATTCGAGAGAGAGAGAAAGAGAGACTGAGAGAGTTACAGGGTTGTCGTTAGCATCTGGTGCTAGCTCGGAGCTAACGGAGATTAGCTGTTTCAACAATAAGGAGAGGGAGAGTCCTCTCCTGTGGGACTGAGAGAGATAACGTCAGCTCAGGGAGGTAAACTGTAGCCTAAGTTATCTCAGTGGGTTTGGTCATCTATGTAAACAAATAATTTCCATCTATGTAATATTAGTTGTATAAAATAGGTTAAGAAATCCTTCCAATGTTTTTTGATTATTGAAATATATGTTTCATATGAGTGTTGAGAGCTGTATCCATAAATCTCTTAATGTTGGCCTCAAAGTGCACCAGATTGATCACTTTCCTCATCTATCCTGTCCGAAAAGCTGTCCAAATCAATCATTTCTCTCACACTAGTATCACTTTCCAAAGTCTCCACCATGTTTACAATCACAACTGGGTACATCTTGTGACGTCACAGCCACTATCGTCTGCAACTTCCGTTAGGCTCAGACGGCAAAATTAATAATTCATTCATTCATTAATTATGAAAAATTATTTTAGCCATGAACAGGCACAATGATATGTAAGGAATGAAACTGCCATTTCATTTTGGCGCAAAAACATGCACTTCACTGGGTCTTTAAATCTCCACCGCAACGCACTCCGCATAACAGGGAGAACACGGGAGAAATGAGCGGAATTGCGCTATCGTTTCCTCTCTCCCCCTCTCTCTCTCTTCTGACAGCCCGATTATTTCGTAGAGGCGTAAAAACCTTTCATCGGACAAGGAGAAAATAGATGTTGTGAAGCAGCACACGACTTTTCAGATGTGAGACTTGTGAAGAATGTGAACGCTGGCGACTCCCATCCGAGCACGGGTCGAAGACGCTCACGTCCCTTGCCGATAAATAACAGAACCGTTTTTCGTTCGGCCGGACAGCGTCAAGCATCTCTTCACCTAGACTGTTCATTCTAAGTAGACGCTACGCTATAACTGACGACAGCAACGGACTGGTCGTGGTACAAGTGTGTAAGGTAGGTAATAATGGAGTATGTATCGGCGTTCCCCGGTCGAGGCCCCATTAAAGAGGCCCCCGAGCGTCGGGCGAGCGGAGGCTTGCTAAAGAGTACGTACAAGAGCCCGACCTCGGACTGCCCACAGGGTTTCCTATAGGTTTCGTCTTGTGCATCGACACCACTCACCGCAGGACCTTTATAGGCCAGGAAACATGGAAAAAATTGGTTTTTTTTCTTGTCTTTTGTTGTAATAAATAAATAAAACATAAGACGTCCCAATCCAATAAACGTCCAATTATCGGAATATTATCGGATTGTAACTTGTTGAGAATTCACAAAAAAAATTTAGATTAAGAATCTAGTAACTTGTAATATGTAAGAAAATGGTTATCGTAGAATAAAAAATACATTAGACCGGACGTATTGGTATGCATGTATAAATGCTTCAGTCCGGATCCAGATTAACAAAAGAGTGGACCTAGGTCTTCAGCACCGTAACGTATGTCCGCGGCACTCTGGTTTACAGTGGTTTAGCGGAGAACCTAGCGAAGGTTGATTCCACCGAAACTGCAAAGTGGCGGTACCAGGCAGAGTAGTCGCCGACAACAGAGTTCTCTGGGCATTCTCGCAGATTACTACCATTTATTGTAGACGATCGTCTACGTCAACTACTCGACTAGACAACGCAATCGAGAAGCTTACCACACTCTCCCTCTGTTAGTAAAAGTTAGTAAAGGTGACTACCTGAAACCGCTCGCAAACTTTCGTCCGGTATCAGTCGACGTATTCGTCTTATCACGGGCAAAGACAAGTTCATTTGAACGTCGGTATATGTTTCAGATAAGGTGGAACACCCCGATGTAGAACAACATCAGAAAAAACATCCAACCGGTTCACAACGAGTTAATCATAACCTCAACACTCATACGATTACCCACTTACAAATTTTACTGGCTGGCTAGGCAGGAGGGACGTCGACAGTACAGTCTTACGAGGCGACACTGTTATGAGGGAGCAAGGTGTTGCTCGACCTCACTACCACCACTGGTATGTCCCATCCGACCCATTAGACGTAGGAGTAACCGGAAAATGTACAAAAAACGCAATAGGGAATCTTATTTGCACCTGGAAAAGGACACCCTTTAAGGGGTCCTAGCCTTGTAGAGTGCCTACGCCGTCGGTCTCGGAGGCGACTACACTACTGTGGACCCTTAAGAACTGTGACTTCTTGTTGCAAAACACCAAACTTTAGGACGGTTAGCTTCACGCGTCAATTTGAATTGTACCTGTACTCTTGTACGAGCTCGAGGTTCTACAGGTGACCATTTGATTGACTACACGTAACAGGAAATTTTACGACAGATACACACATATTGACAAACCAAACGCCGTCCGTATTGGCAGACACTTTTTACATGCGGGACCTTCCATATTGCATCTAGGTTCCCACCATTATTCAACAGGCCTTGGGCCGTAGGAGGTCGATGTCTTTCTCGACGACTAGTTCAGTTACTTAATGGTAATGGAAACGACGCAATAAAGAAAACTGACAGAACGACATGGACGATATCACAAGGACTGGGGCAAATTTACAAAGTGAGGTGCAGTTGACTCACCCTACCTTGGCCTCCAAAATGACTGAATCGCGACCGAACGGAAAAGTATCAGCGGCATATGAAACTACACTACTTGCGATTTACCAGATTAAGTTAAACACCATTAATTTACAGTCAACAAAACAAGGTGGTGCCCCCTAAAGACGACACGTGCACAGGAACGTATGGCGATAAAATTACAGACAAAGCCTGTGGAACTTTATAACGGTCTGACCACTTCGGTAAAACAGACAAATGAAACGGTGCAGGTCTCTTTTTTCACCAATACATAAAGTTGCAGTAGGTAAAATGCATTACCGCTAGCCGTACAAATCTCCCGTGGCTAGCTAGCCATCTCTCACTTATAGGCCGCTATAGCTAGCAGCTGGCTAGCTAGCTCGTAGGGCATCAAAATTGGATAGCCAATTATTTGGCTCCCGAGCGCCGTAAGGGACAGGCTCTATGTGGGGTGCGCTTTAAAGTGTGGTCCGCGCTAAAGACGGACTCATTGTCGTCTAGGTGCGAACATCCGTACCCTTATCTTCGGCGTGCAATCTTCTGCGGTACGTTATACGCTTCTGCAGTGCAGGTCCATTTTATCATAAAGTAGGGAGGGTGTGTGGAGACACATCGGCCGGTGAGTTGGGACGTCGCGCGCAGACAGGCTTGTGTAGTTACTATCGTCGAGCCTCACTTTTGTGTCGCACACCTCCGAGGAGAGTGTAACTTTCCACGCTCCTCGGTCGGCCTATTGGCTTGGCCGTCTGCCGCATGACAATCTATAAGGACTTACTCTTTGCGTCCCCGCTTAATAGGACACAACCCTTACTACCCATACACCTTCATAGGGTGGAGAGAGAGGTCCAGATATCTCCACTTGGTTCAGGAGGGAACTTACTTGTGTGAGATGCGTGGACAAACTAGCAGTCGTAGCCACTTTTCCGGAAAAGTAATAACGGGACAACTTTCGACTGTCAAAACTCCTAAGCAGAGTAAGGGGGCCGAGAAAAAGCCCTGTTCCTTTTTAGTCTATTGCCCTCATTATGGGTGACTAAAAGAAGGGGAACCCCTTGGGAGGGACCTATTATTCGGAGAGACAGTTGTCAACGATACTACCAGAGGCGTGGAAAGAACCGCAACCTGCGGAGGCGTTTATTGGCAACGTCGATCCCGTCCACTGTGAACCCCTCAGCGCAAAATGATAGTAGGGTAACTTGCACCCCCCTTCCGCGTTGACGTCCCCACATGAGACGACAGCGGACGAGTAGGTAGACAGGTAGGTCTGTGTGCCGCGACGAGACTCTCGCCCGCGTTACGAGCACTCCTCCCACAACACAGCAGGTTACCGCTGCTCGGTGCGGGTCTCGGCGCGACGCACTCCGTTGGGTTCCACCCGGATCTTAGCTACCCGACACTTCCCTCGGAGGTGTGCGACACAAAGTGAGGCTGAGAGTAGTCTCCGCGCATGTGCGGATTCCCCTACTCAACGCTCCACACACGTACTGCAGGTGTACTACCAATATTGCCGGCGAGGTACCAAATAGTACTGGTCCTCCTTCCACATAGAGCCTGTCTCCTAGGCGCTCGGACGCCAAATAATTGGCTATCAATTTTGATCCCTGTACGAGGCTAGCTGAGCCGCTGCTAGGCTAAGCCGGGCTATTAAGTGAGAGATGCTAGCTAGCCACGGGAGATTTGTACGGGCTAGGCGTAATGGCATTTTTACTACTGCACTTTATGTATTGTGAAAAAGAGACCTGCACGTTTTTATTGTCTGTTTTACCGAAGTGGTCAGACCGTATAAAGTCCACAGGCTTTGTTCTGTAATTTTATCGCCATACGTTCCTCACCGTTGTCGTCTTAGGGGGCACCCTGTTTTGTTGGAAAATTTGTGTTAAATTTAATCTGTCAAACTCTCAAGTAGTGTAGTTTCATTTGCCGCTGATACTTTCCGTTCGGTCCGCGAATCAGTTCATTTTGGAGGCAGTTAGGTGAGTCAACTGTCACTCACTTTGTAATTGCAAGTCCTTGGGATATTCGTCCATGTCTTTCTTCAGTTTTCTTTATTGTCGTTTCCATTACCTTAAGTAACCTAAACTAGTCGTCGGAGAAAGACATCACCTCCTACGGCCCAATGCTGTGAATACATGGTGGAACCTAGATGCAATATAGGAAGGTCCCGCATGTAAAAAGTGTCTGCATACGGACGCGTTAATATGGTTTGTCACATATGTGTGGGTATCTGTCGTAAAATTTCCTTGTTACAGTGTAGTCGAATCAAAATGGTCACCTGTAGACCTCGAGCTCACGTACAGAGTACAGGTACAATTCAAAATTGACGCGTGAAGTAACCAGTGCGCCTAAAGTTTGTTTTTTTTGTGTGTTGCAACAAAGAAGTCACAGGTTTCTTAAGGGTCCCAGTGTGTGCGCCTCCGAGACCGACCGACGTAAGGCACTCTACAAGGCTAGGACCCCTTAGGTGTCTTTTCAGGTGCAATAAGATTCCCTATTGCGTTTTTGTTACCATTTCCGGTACTTTCCTAGTCTAAATGGGTCGGATGGACATACCGTGTGTGTGAGGTCGTAGCACACTTGCTCCCTCATAACAGGTGTCGCTTTCGTAAAGACTGTACTGTCGACGTCCCTCTGTGCTAGCAGCCATTTTACAATTTGTAAGGTGGTAATCGTATGAGTGTTAGGTTGATAAGTCGTTGTTGAAACCGGTTGGATCGCGTTTTTCTGTGTTGTTCTACATCGGTGTCCACCTTATCATGAACATAGTACGACGTCTCAAATGAACTTGTCTTTGCCCGTATAGACAGAATACGTCGACTGATACCGGACGAAGTTGCAGCGGTCCGGTAGTTCACCTTTAACTAACTTTATACAGAAGGGAGAGTGTGGTAAGCTTTCGATTGCGTTGTCTAGTCGAGTAGTGACGTAGACGATGTCTACAATATGGTAGTAATCTCGAGAATGCCCAGAAGGGAACTCTGTTGGTCGACTCTGCTGGTACCGGCACTTGTTGCAGTTTTCGGTGGAAACAACCTTCGCTAGCGTCTCGCTAAACCACTGTAACCAGAGTCGCACATACGTTAACGGTGTGACCAGACCTAGCGCTGCACTTCTTTCGTTTATCTGGACCGGAGAAGCATTTATACATGCATACAATACGTCCGGTTTATGTATTTTTTATTCATGAACGATAACCTTTTTCTTACGATATTCAAGTTACTAGATTGCTTATATTAATTTTTTTTGTGGAATCTCACACAAGTGACATCCGATTATATATCCGATATTTGGACGTTTATTCGGATTCGGACGTCTTTATCTATTTTATTTATTATACAACAAAAGACAAAGCAAAAAACCAATTTTTTTCCATCGTTTCTGGCTATAAAGGGTCTGCGTCCGAGTTCGGTCGTCGATTGCACAACGTCGAAAACCTATAGTGAACTGTGGGCAAGTCCGAGCGGTCGGGCTTGTTCGTACTCTTTGCAAGCCTCCGCTCGGCCGAGTCTCGGGGCGGCCTCTTTAATGGGGCTCGCCGTGAAACGTCCGATCATACTCCTTTTAATTACCTACCTCTAACCTTCCGTATCCACGACCGTCGTTGCTGTCGTCAGGTTATGGCGTAGCGCGTCTACTTAGACGATTTGAACAGTCTCGGTCGAAGACGGGTGGCTTTCGCCTGTCGGGCGCACCGAAAAACCGGTTCTGTTTATTTTCGGCGGAGGCGACGTGAGCGTCTTCGACCGTCGCGTCGCGATGCGAGTCGCCGCGTCACTCTTCACAAGTTCACAATACTGAAGTCCGTGTGCCGTCGCTTACAACATCTACTTTGTCTCCTTGTCCAGACTGAAGCGTTTTTTACGCCTCTACCGATATAAGGTAGTTTGTTCTTCGAACCGGAAACTACCGTCGTACTTCATCCCGCGATTTTCTTATCGGTTCGTGCCCCGTCCAACATTTTTGTACATCCGGATTGTCCTCTCCTTACAAATATAATAAACCGATATATTCACGAAAGCAACAAAGGTTAAATTTATAACAGAATGTAAACTCATCCCGAATAAAAATCTTTTTCCGGGACATTAAAACAAGCGCAGATAACTTACATAAAGAAACAAGTAAGATATTCCGGATGATTACCCAAAGAAAAATTAAACTTGGTTTAGTCACAACTCGTCACGTGTAATCCGCCGAAAATAAGGTATTCCTTCCGATTTTTGTGATAAACGATATCCGGATGACGTTCGAAAATCGGCTCCGTATCCGTAAACTAATAATCAAACGAACGTTTTACGATGTACCCGGGATCTTAGCCTTACAACCTATTACAAGCAACGGAAGGCTATTGTTTAGTTTTCAAGCAATTTAAAAGTACGAAAAACGTCCAGAATTAATATAAGACGTTACCGAACACAATTCTTATCAATTGAAAATAAACGCAGATTTTATCATTTATATTATATATTTAAAACAAGAACGTTGTCGTCAAAGAGCAGCTTATCGAAGGGGTCTTAGAAGGGAGCGACCACTGACTGGCCACTGATGTAATGAAGTTTCAATCTGGGGCGATTGTGTGCATCAGATCGATAAAATACAATGACAGACCTTGTTGATGTTGATGTATATGATTTATATAAATAGGGTGACAACCCAGTGATGACCTAGTCACTCGACCGTTTCTCNGTCAAAATGTGTATGTACTTTGCCACCACACACGGTTACCAAGCAGCGCTTATTGTTGTTTAGGCTGGCCACTCATGTGTCGCGAGTGTTGACAGGGGCGTGGGAGCACGCTCATGAACTGTTAGCACCGGAACCTTGCAACGGCTGCGGAGCGCATTTGCGCCACATTTGGGCCTAAGATGAGGTTCGAGTCTGCGTGATCTGCGTGTAGAGAGGGGCAGCAGCCATATCATTAGCTAGAACTAGCTAGATCTGATGGATTTGGACATAAACGCGAGTGAAGTATAACCGGACGCGAGAGAGAGAGAGACCAGCACCTGCAGCTCTGCCCACTGTGAGGGACCGGTGAGCGGAGCAAAACACACCTTTAGACCTAACACACTTAGCTATGGCACTGTCGTATACATTGAATTATTCAATTTGATAATATGTAATCAACTTAGGCATCCCTCCCATTTTTTTTTAAAATAAAATAAAAATATTCATAACTCATATTCGAATACCTGAATAATTATTCAAATACCTGAATAATTTTGAATATTCGATTAATTGTTCCCATATCTAGTATAAACATTTCAATCCTATTTATCATAACGTTTGTAGCAATATCCCGATAAGATTTGTCGTCTTTGACAAAGACGATGTAATTGCATAACTCACGGGAGGGCTATTTCTTTCAGAAGCTGTGCTTTCTGCCCTCCAGCTTCAACTAACCTTGTTTTCTTGTACCTTGTCTGTATATATTATTTGGAATTTGTCTAATTAAAAAAAGATGGAATATTGTTTTTTTTCAACTGTGGCATGTGGCCCTGACATTTTTAAATAGATGTTGTAAAGTTGTGGGTAAAGTTTAATTTGTTTTGTTTAAAAGTACAAGCATCTCCTACCCTCTGGGCTGGTGCTGTGGATAGAAGTGAAGGGGTGTTCATACACTCAGGAGACTGGGGCTTTCTGGAGAGCTGCTTTTCATTTAGCTGCTTGTTGAGCCAGTTTATAACTGTGAGGGGAACAAAAGAGACAAGGAGTTGTGATTCTCACACTGTTAGACGATTAGCTGTTTGGACAAACCCACTTATCTTTAAACTGCCAGCCAATTAAACCCAATAAAACTGATAATCCACACATGAGCTGGCAACATAAGTAGGCCACATCATGTGTACAGCAGCTAACATCAATAAAAACATAGATTCTGATGAGGTAACTGGACATTTCTATGAGAAAAAACGTGGCAAAGTACGATTCCAAACAGAATGTGTATATGAACATGTCTAAAAACTGATGCACTAAGAAGTTTAGACATTATTATATGGATGGCAGTTCATCGTTGAAATGGGAGGAAAGCTTCCTCACCATTCTCATTGGTTTTCAACACCTCTCTGCTTTCATTGAGCTTCTGTACCGTCGTCTCCAGCTGCTCCTTCAGTTTTGAAACCTGAAATATATGAATAACATTTGTATCAATAATTACACTTAAAGAGCTATTGTGGCTCTTTTCAGATACATAGACACAGCACTAACATTATTCCAACAAATGAATGCAAAGATAAAAAAGGCACCAATCTGCAATTTCCTTTCAAGTGAACAATGATTCAAAAGATAAAAAAGGTATACAATTTAGAATGAGAGATAAAAAAGGGGGAGGAAAATCCACCTTATGTGTGATTATCACTATTAGATATTTTATAGATAGAGGTGTACGGAACGTTTGTTCAGTCTCAAGCCAATAACATTACTCATTCATTAGTGTTATAGAAGCAACATGTAAATAAAGGCTACCATTTTAGAGTGACCTGCTTGTTTTCCAATACTTGTGTATGAAAATCCTTCAAGTTCTTTATTCTGCAAAAGGTGTGAGAATGTGTAAACTGTAGGGGTGTGTATTGCAGATTTGATCACAATACAACATCCATTCTTTGAACACATTGTGATATTTGCCGATATCAAATAATAACATTTTTATCCAATGCAATACAGTATGCAATTCATCATTATTATCTTATTGGCACATCACAGTACATATTGTTACTCTGTACACATACTTATTATGTGCACATTTCTACTTTATATAATTATTTTGATTCTTTTTATCTTTGATTGGAAATTTTGCTTCAGTATTTGTTATGTTTATATAAATAATTGTATTTAATCTTCTTACATTAACCTCTTATGTTATATTAATACTGTTATTTTAATCTTTTATTTTTGTAATCCTAAAATAGAGCAACTGTCGCAAAACCCCATTTGGATAATTAATTCTGATACCAGCTAACAAAAAGAAACTAAAGTGGTATTGGACTATTGTATTACACGTCACTAAATCAATCTATTTGACATATAGCTCTACTGTTGTGAAATGCAACCCCTTTTTCTTTCATTCATCAAGAATATTTTAGTTTTTTTTAATCTTTGTTCATTCTTCGGTTGACATAATTCCTTATAGCTAAGCATGTACATGTGTATATAATATATGAGGCAGTTTACAGCGTTCTGAAAGACTCCTCAGACAGACCTGCTCCTCCTTGCTGCTGAGCTGCTGCTGAGTGCTCTGCAGACCCTTTTCAACACTCTGGAGTTTTTCTGATGTGTCCTGGAGGACCTTCTCCTGTGACACGGTCACAGTGTTTTTTAATTTAATTTTTCCAACCAGGCCTCGAACCTCGCCCTGCAGCTTCTTAATGATACCATTAGCCTGGGTTCAAAGAAATAGGAAGTAAGAAAGTGGACAGAACAAGGTGCAGTTATACACTCAGTTTATAAGGTACAGAAGTGATTCTGTTACTCTGTGCAGCCCATTGAAATCAATGAGGTTAGGCTCAGTGTTGAGAGTAGGAGCGTGTTGCTGTGGAAACAAGGATATGGATGCTGATGGTGGGGTAACAGTGTTTCCTTCATGTGTTCAGCCTGCAGCCTCACTCACTTTTATCAGCTCCTCAGAAAGAGATTTCACTGTGGCCTCGAGTTTCCTATTGTGAAGTTCTTTACTTTCAGCATTTTCTTCCATTGATTCCTGGAAAATAACAAAAAAGATACATTATATGAGCAAAAAATCCATATGGTGTTATTCTATACTCCTCTTACTGTCAGTAAATCCTTTTCAAGCAATTGTGTGTTTAGTACTAGGTATTACTCAATAAAAGACCGTCATATGGGAATTTCAGTTAATAGTTTATTAGAAATAAATAATGATATTTATTTATTTTTGACTTATTTAAACAGGCAGAGTAACTCAAGATGTCAAAAAAAGTGCAGTGCTGTAAAAAGTAGAATATAAGGGGAAATAATGTTTTGCCATTTTTTTGTTTTGTTGTTTGGTTTAATGTTCAATTATTCTGAAAGACCATAATCATGTTGGTGACGGAGGCCCATGTAGATGTAGCGGTTGGTATCTCCCATGTACTTTGCTTAAAGGTCCCATGCATGGCCATTTCTACTGATCATAATTCCATTGTTGAGGTATACTAGAATAGATTTAAATTGTTCAATGTTCCAAAATCACATTGGTTTCTCATACAGCATCTCTGTATAGTATGTTTATTCATTCTCTGTCCTACTCGGCTTGTTGGAGCCCAGTGTGCTCTGATTGGTCAGCTCACCCACTCTGTTCTGATGAGTCCACCACCGTTACAGCGGAACATCAGTGATTATGTGTTACAATGGCGTTAGCAACCAGAAAATGTCACCAGTAATGACAGACACATTAGAATGCTGCGTGGGGTCTGGGTGCCTTGTTGGCGGGACGTTGCAGCCGAGACAGCGAGACATCTCGAAACTTAGCCTGAACTCAACCTGAGCCTCAGGTTGAGTTCAGGCTAAGTTTCGAGATGTCTCGCTGTCTCGGCTGCAACGTCCCGCCAACAAGGCACCCAGACCCCACGCAGCATTCTAATGTGTNTCAAGCTCAACCTTGACAAGACTGAACTGCTTTTCCTTCCGGGAAAAGATTGTCCCACTCTTGACCAAACAATCAACATCGGCACCTCTGTTGTTTCCCCGACTCAGACTGCAAGGAATCTAGGTGTGATCCTAGATAACAAACTGTCCTTCACTGCAAACATTGCTGCTACAACCCGCTGCTGCAGATACACGCTTTACAACATCAGGAGGATACGTGCCCAGCTGACCCAGAAAACAGCGCAGGTTCTGGTCCAGGCTCTCGTCATCTCACGCCTAGACTACTGCAACTCCCTCCTGGCTGGTCTACCTGCATGTGCCATCCGACCTCTGCAGCTCATCCAGAATGCAGCGGCTCGTCTGTTCTTCAACCTTCCAAAATTCTCCCACACCACGCCGCTCCTCCGCTCCCTTCACTGGCTTCCGGTAACTGCTAGAATCCACTTCAAGACACTGGTACTTGCGTACCATGCTGCGAATGGATCTGGCCCTTCCTACATCCAGGACATCGTTAAACCGTACACCCCAGCACGTGTACTCCGCTCTGCATCGGCCAAACAGCTCGCTGCACCCGCACTGCAAGGGGTCCCAAGTTCCCATCAGCAAAAACACGTGGGTTTGCTATCCTGGCTCCAAAATGGTGGAATGAGCTCCCCATTGAAATCAGGACAGCAGCTTGCACATCTTCCGGCGCAGACTGAAAACTCATCTCTTTAGACTCCACTTCGAGCGATAGAATTACTAACAAAGCACTTATATACTAATAAAGGGCTGGCTTATCTAAAGCCAGTTGAGTAGCACTTGAAATGTTTGGCTCTATGAAACCTGATGTACTTATATGATTCTGTTTTCTTCAAGGTTGTATCTTCCTAATGTACTTATTGTAAGTCGCTTTGGATAAAAGCGTCAGCTAAATGCAATGTAATGTAATGTGTCTTAAGCTGCTTCATAAAAAAGAGCAACAGAATGAAAGTGCAGGTGGTGTTAAATAAGGAAGTCAGTTCTTCAGTGCGGACATTGTGGGGAGATTCCTTAATAGAGCAGGCATTTTGGGCAGTGATGTGAGAGCCAGTCAAAAAAGTAAATGCAGCCTATGCAACTTACAGAAAGATTAGGTTTAGTTAGAGATAAAAGCACTATGCAAAAAATAAAGTAATGGCTATGGTGGCCCGATCGCGACTTGGGAAGAACATAAAGGCTGAGTTGAAAGATGTTCTTGGTCTGAGCAAGAGAGGCGAAAGGACCATCCATACTTCCAAGTATTGGCATTGCGTCTGGTGTGATTCCCCTGCAGATGGTGTCTAGTCAAAGGAATAGTGATTGTCATTGATGATGATGCCGCTCTGTGTGCAGGAGTGCCAGCGGTCCAAGCAGCAGGTCCTGTCTCTCAGGAGGGAGAACGGCACCCTGGACACAGGGGTCCACGACAAGGAGCGTGTGGTGAGCCAGCTGCAGATGAGGGTGGCTGTTCTGGAGCAGGAGATCAAAGATAAGGAGCAGCTCATGCGGCGCACTAAAGAGGTGCTGGAAGCCACACAGCAGCAGAAGGTAGGAGCTTCTTCAAATGTGTCCTTTTACAATCTCTGTTAAAGACAACACTAACTTAGCGCTCCTCCTGTGTTATGATTGTCTCAAGGTTCGCTGCACTTTATCATTTGAATTAATTTCTTATTTCATAGTTTTTTATCTTTGATTTGATTTTTGATTTGATTAATCTGTGCTGTCCTGGTTTTCATCCTAACCCTGTTGCTGTTTGAACTACTACTATTTCCCCACGGGGATTAATAAAGGTCCATCTTATCTTATCTTATCCAATACCCATGCTCTTTATCCCATGCCAGACAACAATTAATGCTAAACATTAAAGGTCCCATGCCATGCTTTTCCGGTTATTACCCGTCCCCTTGTGTGTTATGAAGGGTTTTATCCATGTAAACGGTCTGCAAAGCCACAAACCCTCAAAGTACACCCTGTAGTGAGTAAAACTCTAACACAGAAAAGACCTGTCTATGCTGCCCCAGAACGCCTCGTTGGAGATTTCCCTTTTTCCATTGTTTTCTTCCGGGAACCAAAATGGAGCACTCCGGAGCTCCTCACACACCAGGATCCATTGGCGTCACTATCAAACGCANCTATGTGCGTGCAGGCGAATACACACTACCGCCGCCTGCTGGTAAGGAGAGTTATTGCCACTCATGCATGCGCAGTTCGTACGTGCAACTTGGCCGTCGGCTGGAGTCTTTGCGGTGTGTTCCAGTGAGACTGTTGGCCAAGACGCAGGGGACGTGAGGCGACACAACAGTCGGGTCCGTCTGTGTGAGTTCTTTGGTGTCAGCTTGGTGTGTCCCTACAGAGAAATGCGGATTTCGGGCCCTTAGCTTGAAAAAAAAAAAAAGGAGGAGGCGGAGCTAATGCCTGATCAGAATTCTACCGGATATAAAGTTAAATTCTGCTGTGATAAAACGCCATCCTGTTCTAAACCACATCAAGGATTATTTCTGAAACAGTATGGAGCTCAAATGCTTTTTCTCTTGCGGGTTTATCACAAGGTGAGTTACTTTTTTTATTTCCTGCTTTTTAAACACATGTGCTCTCCAGTACAGGTTAGCTCTGAGTGTTAGCGAGGCTTGCTAATGTAAACAAAGGCGAGATTACGTCCAAACACTTCAGGCATTGTTTCTGATAGCAATTTTCTGTGGGTCCGCTGCCGATTTGACGTCAGATCGGGAGCAAATCTGTATCGTTGTACCACCGTTTTTAAAAGACTTGGGTACGGAGAAAAAGAGAGAGGGTTTTATTTTCTGGCGCTGCGTGAGTTCCCCGACGCACCAGGGACACATATGTATGTATAAAAGACATCACAAAGTGCATTTTGCATGATAGGTCCCCTTTAAATTAAGAGCCCTTTAATGCATTAGAAACATAGCTAAGGAGCCTTACCTCTGCAGCCTTCTCTCTCTCCGACTGTAACTCCAGAGAATGACGGCTGGACAGACAGCTGCTCTGACTCGTCCACTCGGAGCGCATTTTGTCCAACTCTTTTGTTTTCTCTGACAGAGTCTGTGAGACAAATTCAGGTATATTAACATAGTAAGCCTGTTGTTGTGCCATTCGGCTGTCATGAGGGGCGGGGCGTGCCCATCAGGAGAAGCTTTGATTTCAGTTTCTACTCAAAGACCCCTCAACATGCGAACAGGAAGCAACCCGCTGTTCCTCTCCTGAGGCATAGCCATGTTTATTTTACATCAACCTTTAAATATATATTCAATTATACTATTAATTGAACCTGGTGTGTATAGTTCTTGATAACAAGAGCAATTAGAAATTAGACCTTGTTGAAAATAACAGCAGGCTCATTTAACCACAAGATACAAGTGACATCTCCTACGCTGTGCCAAGAGCTAGAGCCATACATGACTCCAAAAAGTGGTGAAAATTAAGTTTGTATTGAGCGCTTTTCCAGTCCTTGTGAACCCTCAGAGCATTTTGATATATACAAGTCAGCATTCACCCATTCATACAGAGGCAGAGACTGCCATACACGGTGCCACCTGCTCAGGAGACAAGCATTCACACACAACGTCGCTCATCGTGGCTAATTTAGGATTAAGCTGCACCCTGCTCAATGATTCCCACTAACATTAACCTAAAACAATTGACATTTTGAAAAGTTTAATGTCCAGAATTTTTAAAGGAATCTCTGATATCCAGTGTGTGAAATATGTGGAACATTTTAACATTTAAATGAAGTTTCAACATGATCGTATGAATGAGAAAAGGCTCACCTGTTGAGCATAGTTCAGCTGCCTGGTCAGATCATCTTCAGTCTTCTTCAGCTTCATCTCCACAGCCTGCTTCTCTGCCTGATACACACAGATAACATTTGTGATGGAAGTTTAGTTTAACAGTTAGCCCCTAGGCGCTGTTCAAAGTGCTCCAGGCAGGTGGATATGTGGTGCGTTTGGTGACTTGAACTGCTGTAAATCTCCCGTTTCACATTCCCAAGGGAGTTTCTCTTCCACACACACCCTGAAACGCCTCCATTGGACTCCTTTTGTTTACTTGTGTTACATAGTCAAATTACTATGTAACACACGCGCTTCTATTGGCTAGCGCTCCAACATATTGTACGTCATAGGCTAAGGGGCGGGACATCTCTAAGCGGTTGACCAATCAGAATAGAGCCTTTTGAACATTAAAGCATGTAAACAGTAGGGGGGACAAAATACAAATAAAAACCTGAAAATTAGCATTAATTCACTAAAATTTGATACGATTCAAAGCTGCAGACTTAAAGCTAACAGATAGATAGCAAACCAACTATAGAGACAAACCAACTATATTTCAATATAAAAAACTACACAAAAACAGTGTAATTAAATTATAATATTCAACACATTTTTTCATGCCAATAACAATTTTAGATCAGATATAAATATGAAATGTGGCTCTTATAATTGCATTTAGGGCTGCACAATTAATCGGAATGTTATTATAATCACAATAGGAACTAGTGTAATATCCAAATCGCAGTAAGCGCTATATTTTGTAAAGCACCATATGTGTACGTTTTGTGATGCTACAGCGAAGTTCTGACCTACAATCCGTTTGTTACTAACCAAATAAAAATATTTTTTTGGTACAGACCGTAAGTAAAATAACAGGTTCAAATAGTGCAGCCCTAATCTAATTGATGATGAACAATGCTGAATGAGCCCACCTTGAGAGAGGAGAGGCACACTGCCAGGTAGTCTTTGATCTCTTTGTCGGAGCCTTGAACGAGTCGCAGGGACAGGTGGTTCAGGTGTTTGAAGGCATTCGTCTCCACAACACTGAAGGAGGCAAGGCCTTCAAGCACTGGGGACTGAGCGGACAAGTGAAGAAGAAACCTGGGGGGGGGGGAGGTGTGATGTTGTTTTTACTGAAACCTTCATTATATACATCATTAATATGTTGGCCAAACAACAGATTAAACCTGCATTTGAAACGAAGCTTTAAAGTGTAATAAAAAAATCTCAGCATTTGTGTCTATATCTCAATGTTTATGTTTAATATTGGAATGGAATGAATAGGACAAATCAATATATGATGTGAAGCTTAAGTTGAACAGGGTGATGTTACCTTGGATTTTCGGACGCTTGCTCAGAATAGCAAAGATTAAGCAGGTCAATAAACTTCTGAGGAAATGACGTAAAGTCTATCAGTAGACCCTGCTGGACTTTCAAACTACACAAACAATAAGACATAAAGAAAACAGCAGTGAGAGAAGGATCAACGCATTCAAACACTGAGCTTTGTATTTTTAGAATTGGATCATTACTTACCTTTGGAAATCTTCTTCTGATATGGAGAGGTTAAAAAGAAAATATGGATCCAAATCATCTGTTAGTCGTACAAGAAGATCCTAATACGAAACGAAAACAGGAAGTTAGTTCAACAGAGTTCTGGGGTGTAAACTATGAAGTAAGATCACCAGAACCAACGTTCAAATAAGGCCTAAGGCAACTTGTTGTATTAAATAAGAGGAAAGCTGGCAAAAATGTTAATTAATAGGTGGTAATCTATTTCATTTCCCCCTTAATGCAATCTGTGCCTCTTTTTTATTTTTAACTTGATTTATAAGTTATAAATGAGCAAAAAGTTATATATGAAACCATAGGTCCTAAAATATGCAATTAAAACTGCAAAAACTCTTACTCACCCTTTTGTGCACAGGACCGTTTGTCAACTGAAGCTCAATGGTGACTCGGATATTTGCTTTCCTGTAAAATTAAGCAGCAAACTGGTAAAAAAAAATCTACTAAACAATCTGATTTCTTATGCTGCGACATGTACTAAAAGCCAACAAATATATATTATTGACACTTTCACTTCATAGTGTTCATGATAATCTTAAGCTATTTAGTAGTGGATTTAAAATGTATTCATAGAAACATAAAAATGCTGATGAAATGTCAAAAGTTTAATGTTCTATTTTACTTTTTATTTCAGAAGCTTCTGGTTGGTCTAAGAATAACATATTTAGCTAATATGAATGGCATAATATAGCTAAAATGGTTTCAGGAATATTATATAAATTCAATAGTTTATGGTTTAAAAATGTTTGTCTCGTTCGTTTTCTATTGTTGTATTAAAATAGGATTTAGCTTTGTGGAACAATAGATACATAGCTAAACAATGATCAAACTTAGATGTTAAATATTGTATTTGTTTGTCTGTCCATTATATTGTATTTTCAATAAGTCAATATCATGCACTTGTTTTGGTTGTTCATTTGAAGATAATTGAAATGAACCCATTTAATTCATTATTTCCCAGAAAGTTCTGGAGGACTAGTCATCTGTAGGCTGAATGAATGTGTCTATCAATATTGTTGGTAGTAACTAACACTAACAGTCATTATTCTACATAAAATATTATGTTTGTATTGCAACATGAATACATGTTTTAGTCATTGAGATATGAAGCTAACGTTAGCTAGGTTTGAGTTCTGTTAAAACAGCTGAAGCTAAGCCAGAGTCATATCAATAAACGTCTGAAATATAGGTTTAAGTTTGTTATGTTAAAACACCTGTAGCTAGCTAAGCTTAGAGTAATGTTACATCGCCTAGGTTATGATACAGAAGTTTAAATCTTTATCTTTGTAAGAGTTAGGTTAAAACGTCTGTAGCTATATCGACAGGTGTGTGTTAAAACGTCTCACCTGTCCTCGCAGTCTCTGCACCTCACGTTCACCTGCAGCTCTTTGCAAAACAGCTCCTCCATGTTGTTAATAAACGAGTCTTTTATCGGGGAACAAACTGACACGCTAACGTTAATGAAGAGGTTAACTATTCGTACTGGGAGGCTATTATTTCCTTCCCAAGGACCAGGCACATTGTTGTTATTACTGAAGTAAATTTTGGATTTGGCGCTTTTCAGCCGCCAACTGTACGACCCTGGAAACGGAACCTGAACGGTCCTCCTTCTTGATGTTTAACGGCTGTTTAACGGCAAACATAAAGCCTTTACCGCCGCCTACCGGCTGGAGTGGAACAGTGAAGGAAACAGCAACAGGATTTTTAGCTTAGTTGCTGGTGCTTGTTTGAATGTTTCTTCATTATTCAAGAATTTCACCTTTTTGACTCCATATTTTCACCATGGTCAGCAGTGGTATAAATAACTAAGTAGATTTACTCAAGTACTGTACTTAGGTAAAATGTTGAGGTACTTGTAGGCTACTTTACTTGAGTTTTTCAATGTCGTGATACTTTGCACTTCTACTCCACTACAATTCCGAGGTAAATCGTGTACTTTTACTCCACTACATGTATTTAATACTTTTAGTTACTCAACAGATTTGGATTAATGATGTGAAATATAATCAACTCTTAAATAAGACTTTAGTTACACCAGGAGTACATTCACAAGCTACCCTGCAGTATATAAAACTCATTCAAACTAGCTGCACTTTTACCAGCTTCGATAACACTTTAATAAATCAATAATTATTTCAAACATATCATATATATGACTCTGAAATGGACCAATCTGCACAATGAGTAATTTTACTTTGGTTACTGATGCCAATGCTTTTCTACTTTTACTTGAGTATCATTTCAATTGCATAACCTTTACATGTAACAGAGTAATTCTACACTGTACTTCTACTTTTACTTAAGTACAAGATCTGAGTACTTTTCCCACCTCTGATGGTCAGGTTATGAGAGACAGATTCAAAGTGCTGCCATTTTCACATGAAAAAACAACTGTTTCACTGAATCCATTCATTTATTTTGCTGCATAATGTGACTATGGAATTTGATGGATCCATTCAAATTGTATTGTTTACTGTTGTTTTGAAGATTTCATGTTGGACATGGAATTTTGCCAAGTAAAGCATAATATATTGGCGTGGTGGGGTGACAGGAAATAGTGTGGTCAGCAGGCAGCAGCATACACACCATGTACTCCAATCACCTGTGTGAAGTGTATTCATAATCACACTTTGAGAGCGCTAACAACGGTTTTCCACAACGTTGTGATTACCAAACACTACTGTCATCTCAATGTCCTTGATGCTGCAATGTCCATTATGAAGCGCTGGGCAGACTCTGTGTCTGCATCGGGTTCCAAATGGACATTGGAGACGTTATTTCACAAGTCTTTGCTGGATCCAGGAATATCGGAATGGGTTGGTAATTAAGAAGTTTCAATTTCAGTAAAGCGGTATCTTGTATGATTTCATGTGACTAACAAAATAGCTTGATGGAGTATTACAAAGGTGATGTGTTTACCTTTCATTATACCCTGCAGTTGGTTTGTATTGAGCTATTTTTTTTTAAGCCTGACCTGATGTCTGACTGTCACACAATCAACTAGCAACTGCTCTGCTGTTTGTCAAGGCGTGATATTAACTTAAAATCTGTGTAAACGTAATCTGTATAAACTACTGGCTGGACAAACTGGGCTTGATTGTGAGTTTAATGAAAATGTAACATAGTTATCCAGGCATCATTACTGTTTCTCTTGTCCCACAAATGTTACAAATAGCCAATAAACAACCTTTTAGGTATCAGAAACTTGACCAAGAATTAAGTCCCCTGACCCATCTTACAAAAGAAAAAGGTAATATGAATGAATGTGTGAGTGCAGAACACACTTGAGCAACGCTCTGTATCAAATGAACAAACAGGAGGTCCATTTGGCTGAGTTGTGGTATAGCTTGTTTATTAATGGTATATTTTTGCATAGGGAAACATACTCATTTCCAGTAATGAATAATCAGCATTTGCTGATAGCAATGGCTAAGTATGGTTATAATGACATATCATCAAAGATGTTGGTATCCCCCACAGCAGAATAACATTAGGGCAGAAACACTGGTTCAGACAGCTGTCAGTCAAACAAACAGGAACAGAAAGTTGTCAGAAGTCCCTGTCTTAATGCAGCCTTAGAGGAAAAGTTTACGTCATGCAAATTAAGGTTGATTATTGACATTATCTTCCAAAGGAAAAGGTTCACGCTGCTACAAACTACATCCAGTCCAGAGCTACAGCCCTCTCCATAGTGAACATCAATCTGGAACAAAATAAACACTACTGGCCTCTTTCTATGCTATCATTTTTCTTATATTGGGTTGGCAAGTCATGCATTATTGTGTGTTTCAGATTGGCTGTCAGGTGGGAAATGTAATTGCATATCAACTTAATTGGACAAGAAAGTTATGGTAAATAACTTTAATATCTTTAAACGGTACTATAGGATGTGGTATTAGTGGTATGATAATTCACACTATTCCAATATGGAAAATAATAGACTTGCTCTCAGTCTTTTATATTGTTTTGAGGTATTGGAAGAACTGATTTTCTTGATTGCCAAAGACTCCCATATATAATGTCCTGATGTACAGTTCATGTAAAAGGGCTGTGGTCTTTGGGGACTGTAGTCATGCAATAACTGATGAAAGCTTTATGCTCTCTCTGATGTAAGGGATATATATTTCTGAAAGCAAGCAAAGCAGTCCATTATAGTATCTGAAAAGTTAGAGAAATAAATGCTTAAAAAATTGCAACTGCATTCTAATGTAAAGTTTCTGTTCATTATAAACCGTCTTCAGCAAATGGAGTAAACAGGTGTACAGGTAACAAAGGAATCAATATGGCGTCGCTGTCAGGAAAACAATATCAAAAAACAGATTTTAGGTAATAAAGAGAGGTTTTCAAACTGCTGTGAGTCTGATTACAGAAAAAGACATTCAACTTAGAAAAAGCAAAAAGAAACATATAGGAGGTTTTCAGGTTGAATATGAATAATAATTTATAGAAAAGAGCCCTCAGAAAGTGTATAGATATCCTTTCTTGCAGCCAGAGATGATCAGCTGCTAACAAACAGCAACACTACCGTTCACTTACAATACCCCAACCCAAAGTAAAGCATGATTTTGATAAAACATTTTTGGTAATTCTCTGCTAACAGTGGTCAGAAGAGCACTTAGTTAGTACCACAGAGTCAAGACAAATCTAGAGGGAACTTTACAGCAAACTTTATCCCAATGGGTAACACAAATTAGAACGTTTGACAGATATTGGATGAGGTGTTTTCATAGAAACCATTCCTACGGTGCATATTTTCATGAACCTGCCATCAGAGAAAAACTACAAGCAGTTCTACTGATTTGTTAACACCACTGCATGAGATACACTGGTTTCAAATTGAAGCAACATAAAGGTGTGGTAGTAACACTCAACAAAGTCTCACAAACCAAAGTCAGTCCAAAATATTATGGATGAAATTAGGAACTGCTTAAAAATACATAGCAAACAACCCCAAAAAAATGTTTTTGTGGCAATACGAGGCGTTTCTTTGGATCTTGGTCTCACTTGCTTTTTCAGTCTCATAGTTTGTGGTCATTGATCTATCCTTAGGTTGTTCAGCCTTACTAAGGTTAACCTCTAACTAGCGGTGCTAGCAGATAGCCACCACACCACTGAGGACCAAGTCTGTTGCATTGGCTGCGCCTCTTTAACAAAGTGATGGAAAATAATCACTTACCGATAACAGACTTTATCCAATATAAAATATTCAAGATAACAAATTATAGATTGTAAAGTATCTGCTGGATCTCAATTCATCAATATTTAATGAACTTTAAATGCTAAAAGGATGCTGAACATAATCACGAACAAACAATGCGTTTCTCTTTATGACAAATTAATCTCCATTTATGTGTCCTGTAATTTATAGTTGACTAAAGATGTTATTTACATATATTTTCTCACTATGATAGATGGGATTACGTTTTAATATATCTGCTTCTGGCTATTTCTCTACTCAACAAATGCCCAATCCCATTTCAGCAATCTATTTTAGATGTGTATAGGGACAAAGATGTGCGGGGGAAACATACTGTAGTAAAGGAGATCCTTAGTGTCCAGACCGGCTGTTGTTTTTCATCCAGAACCTCAAACCATAACAGAAGATAAAGCAACAATAATGACAAGGTAGTGAAGTAACAACTCAGTATGATGCAATAATGTATACAAAAATCAATAATGTTCTGCTCTGGTAGCCTTGTGTGAAGTGTACCACCACATCTTTTAGCTGCATTTGGAACAGGACAGCCTTTTTCTAGTGTAATCCTGAAAGGAGCCAGAAATAGGACACAGGTCCGTCCCTGAACATACGCCAGCCTAAATGAAGAATGGTGAATCCACCGAGCATTATGAAGAGTCTGTCAGTGTTTCCTCTAGATTTCCTTCAGCTCTTTGGGTTGTTTTATGGCTTGTTACCTCAGGACCTGCACAGCCCACCTCCCCGGGCCAGGGCTGAGCACCATACGAGTGTGTCACATGACCATGTAGTGCTTGAACACAGCATACAACATAACTCAAAGCTTGCAGTAAAATGATAGGCACTGCTTGTTTTGTTTTTTCATTTTCCATGTCCTTAACTTGCTGGTATATTTGAATAGAGCGGAGAAAGTGAGGAGAGCACAATGTGATGAGCACAATATTCTCAACTCAGCACACTGTTTTTCAAGATATTATTTATAATGTTATAAATGTCTGTATTTATTAGATATTGGACCTAACCAATCTAACCCAGAATCTAACCTAGGATGTGACCCAGGACCTGACCAGGATTTGATCTCGGACCTCACCCAGGACGTTACTAGGATGCTACCCAGGACATGACCCAGGTCTTGTCCAAGGATTTGACCTAGAATCTGACGCAGGACCTGACCCAGAATCTGACCTATGATATAATCCGGGACCTGACCTTGTATCTGACCCAGGACGTGATCCACTATCTAACGTTGGGTGTACCTGCTTAGGATCTGATCGGGGATCTAACCCAGGACCTAAACCAGAATCTGACCTAGGATCTGATCTAGGACTTGGTCCTGGTCCTGGGAGAGGACGTTGCTGTCAGCTGCCATCAGTGTGACTTCAGTGTCTATCACTGTGTACTTGAATCTAAACAGTGACAGCAGATTGTGCAGTCTGAGTGGATCTATGGATTCTAGTTTAGTAACTTTCTAGTAACTTTTACTTAGACTGACTATAATGGTCTGTCTCCATCTACAATTCTCACCATCTACAATTCTCACCTTCATCATTCCTCTCAGGGCTAAACCTTTCCCATTTCATGGGTCCCTCATTGTGCGGCTTGGCCACCATCTTAAGAGAAAACATGACACGCTGTAACATTCTATACATCCTTTGTATCCATTTTACGAGTGTACATATTTGTACACACACTGTTCTGTTTAAAACTAATGCTAAAAGCAAAATAATAACAATAAAAACTCAAGAAATAACTCAAATAGAACCTAAAAGCCAAGTAGAGCAATAGTGTTAAGTGCATGCATCCATATTAAGCAGAAACTCATCTATGACCTTAGAAGTATCATATCACATGATTCGTCAAATGATCAAAGTCGCCATTCAGGCAAATGGACGGTGTAAGTGCTGCAGAGTGTTTAACATGTTTCCTTAACATGGGATTCAGTGGCTTGGCCACAACATATTCATAATATAGTATAAGACTTTTCCCTGCAATAAATATTATCCATGGGTTTGCATCATTATCAGCTATGAAAACAAAATCATCGAGGGGGGATGTCTTTGATCAACACTTAGAGGAACAGTCCATGAATTTGGGAGCTACAGTTGCTTTTTCTAGTTTTACCCAGAAAAAGATCTTCTAATAAGAACTTCCTGTGTCCAGTTCATTGTTGAACTTAACTTAGTGTCCACTTTCTGAGTTTTTACACATCTCAGTTTGCTTATCTGTCATTGAGTTATTCTCTTGGGTCATGTGATCAGACTATAGATTTGATACAGCCTCCTTGAACCAGGACAGTGCTTTATGACCCTTGTCATTGGCGAAGTGATGAAAAGTGGAAGATGTACTTGAATGCAACGGCAAAATGTTTATCTGAGCTAAACATGTCCATTCTGTGTGCGGGCTGAGGCAAGTCATGTGACTCTGAGTCTGATAACAGGCACATGTACTCCCCAAAATGTGGACTTTTCCTTCCACTGTCAAACAGTGCTGCCTTTAGTTGGGCGCAGAAGCTAAAGTAAGCTTTCTTTAATACACTGCTACACTGGTTAATGTCAAGCAACCACACATGCAGCTTTTTTTCTCTTTGTTTTATAAGTGCTACCAGCTGTACCATGAAAAGTATAATCACTTTATATAATGTATTATTGTTCTTTAACTAAAGGCAAGGCACATAATGTGTTTTATGAAATATCGTGCAAAATAGAAGTATAATAACAGGGCTATTATTAAAGTGTAAAGAAATAGACAGCCCTTCGATCCACTGCTGTCTGCTGTCTGAGGGAGGAGGAGGGGGGCGGGGGGGGGCGCAGGGCAGAGAGGGAGAGGTATCATCAGTTTGAGCCATGCATTCATTAGGTCAACAGAGACACCAGGGCAGCACCATGCATTATACATCCGCTTTAAGCCAACTTTAACCAAAACCCAGCTCATATCAGCACCTTCAATATAAAATCACTAAACCCTAACCCTGGGGAAAGAAAAAGCAAAGGACAACTTGCGATCAGAACGCAAACCCAATCCTTCACACGTGCAAGTGGAAAAAAATGTCAGTAAAAAAGATCACACCGGTTCCAACACAGTTTGACACTTACATCCTAAAAAACAAAGATAAAGGAAAGATATGAGAGGGAAATGGAGCTGTGGTACGAACACACCCAGGCTGTGTGCTGATGTTCTCTGAACTGTCTGTGAGTCTTAAGTTGCATTCACATGAAACGCGGTAATCCTGTCTCTGTGCTGACGTTGCCATTGTGTTTCTACGCAAAGAGTGGTGGCAACCCTAGGCATTGCACACCGCTCAAAATGTAGGCAGACTGCTGTGCTCAAAGTTCAAATTATTTAAACTATGACCATGAATAATGCTAACCCCTAGCAGGGGAAATAACACTAGAAAGAAAACATAAAGGGGCCTTATTCTTCAAATGTTCAGGTTGATCGTTGTATTTTGTGCCTCTACTTTGATATGTTTACATGCTTTAATGTTCAAAAAGCTTTTTATTTGTGTCCTATTCTGTCTGAAACCAGAGCCCAGACTTCTTTGATTGGTTAATTGGCCGGCTCCGTTTTTATTGGTCAGAAGCTTAGAGCTGTCCCGCCCCTTAGCCTATCGCCTACAATGTGTTGAAGCGCCTGCCAATTTAAGCGTGAATATTACATAGTGATGTCACTGTGTCGTAAAAGTAAACAAATGAGTCAAATGGAGGCGTTCCAGACTCCTCCCGAGTGTGGAAGAGAAACTCCCTCTGGGGGGAATTTGGGGATTTTAGCGTTTGCAGATTGTTTACATGCACAAAGACCTATATAACACTACAGGAAAGCATAATAGAGCCCCTTTAACTAGCTTCCAGGCTTTGCGCCAAATCTTGTGGTGGGCAAAGAGCAAATCGCGTATCATGTGAATGCAGCGTTGCTCCTTTAGAACCTCTAAAAATACAGCCGACACCCTTTTCAAGGAGTGCTTTCATGAAATAATAAGAGAAACCAATATATAAATCCAATATTTCCACTAGCTGTGCAACACTGCTACTCTTCTGAACTTGACACTCAGACTACGGCAGTGGTTGGAAATATTGAATTTGTTTGGCTTGCCATTAGAAAACCTTTAATCTTTCCAAAGACAGTGTGCAACCACTTCTGAGACGAGTCTGATTCTACGTATCATCTTCAGAAACACTTGAGATCAATCTGCCCACGCCTTAACACTGATCCACATCCCCGGCAACATATATTTCAATAGACTGCCCTGTAGTTGAAAAGCCTTGGAGACTAAAATATGGCACAGATTATAAAATATTACATCTTAAAAATCTATTATATTTAATGTTTTTATCCCCAAAGAGATCATGTGCGGGATAGCAAAAGGCCAGCGCGCACATTTGCATTGAATTTTACAGACAAATGTCAAACATTATTTAATTCATAATTAAATTATCTTTCTACACACAGACTGAACGAGTTGTTCTATAAACTACGAGCTATATGGTGATTCATGTTTGGATTCTAATAAATGCTAACCTTAAGAGTGATGAAGAGGTCTCTAATCAAAGATAAGATGCAGCATGAAAGATATTACATTTGTTTCAAAAGATAGTTGAATATATTAAGATGTGAAAAGCCAAGTTATTGCTTTTCTCCATTAAAGCACTTGATGCAAATATTGTGTCAGCGTTGGACACAGGAGAGCAAGGAAACTCTGGTATGAAATGCTTGATCTGTTGACTGCTGCCACTGTTAAACCATCAGGGTTTGACTGGTGACAAAGCACTGTGCCTAACCCTAATGCTATCCATTTCCACAGTCCTGTCAACACCACTCTGTACAGCTGGACAACAAACCTGGATATTGTGCTCACTTCAAGGTATGCACATGACCTGCTGCCATAACCATGGAAATGCTACGGCCTGCTAAGTCGGTGACATGCCACATCATCAAGTCAATCATGTGATGTGTCTCTTTTCGATCAACCAACCACACCGTGTTCTCTGAGAAACTAACACAGCTCCCCAAAACAGAGCAGGGATGAGTGTGGAAATGCAGGAACCGATCTCACACAACCTGACGCACGCACGCACGCACGCACGCACACACACACACACACACACACACACACACACACACACACACACACACACACACACACACACACACACACACACACCATGCTACAGTCTCAAACACATGAGTTCAGCAGCCAGTTGCAACTGCCTAAAGTTCTGTCAGAATGATCAGGTGTGAAGGGAAGGAAGCAGCAGGATGTCAGGGGGTTTGAACTCTGTCCAACTATAGCATTGTGTGTTGTGTTGGAGGAGGCATGAATATAGCTCTTATATTCCACTATTACTCATTGTTTTTCTGATAAAAAAGCACAATCAAACAGTCTTAAAAACATGAGCTTAGCAAAGCAACTTAATGGTTTCAGGCCGATGATTGTCAATAAAAAAGACAAAGCCTCTGTCTTTAGGTGGGAAGAGAGAAAGAAATGCTCTGTCTCAACTCTAAGTTTTCATAGCAATAATAAAAAGTGCAAAAGAAACATTACATATTAACAACAGGAGCTCTCTTTCTAGTCGGTTCAGAAAAAAGGGGAGGCTTATTTGCATATATTATAAGCAGCACCTGCAGCGGAGAGGGGCATTCTGGGTGTTGAGGGGGGGATGAGGTCTATCTGTCCCAGGGAGGAGGTCCTGTACTGGGTTTAGTGTAGAGAGCCAGGGTTCAGGAGTAAAGGCTGAAATCCATTGCAGGGAAACAGGCCTCATCCTGGGAACAGGCTTCTTAGGTTCTGCTGTTTGGAGGCCTGATTCTGGTCCAGTTCATCCACATCACTCCTTTTCTTTCACTTGGAACTCACGTCGGTGAGAACCATTGAGTGTCACAAGGCTGTGAGTGAGAGCAGCATCTTCTTCAACCAGGCTATCTCTTCTGGGTCCATACACATATATAGATATACTATATTTATATATGTGTATGCTTCTACAAAGATGAATATATTTTCCCTCTTGTGATATCTTGACAGCATTGTTTGCTTTCCTCCAGGACCGTACTGCCAGGACAAGCGTCTCTCCTCCACATGTCCATCAGTTGCCCAGATACCAAGACTGGAAGAGAGACAAAGACAAAATAAACGTTCACTTCTAACTGATGCGCTAACTGACTTTATCTAACATTTCAGAAGAATATACATCTTTGCTGATTTACTTCAGTCTGTAGCAAAGACCAGCCCATCATTAACCTACAGGTGTTCTGTTAGTCTAACCCAACAGCCATGAGCCCTACAGAACAATGATCCACAGGTCTGTTAACCACACTGTTAACCCCTAAATGTAATAACCCATTAAACTGTCAGGACAATCAATTCAATTACATCATGAACATATCCTTCATTTGCTTCTGTAGTGTTTGAACATATAAAGGTTTTCATTTGAAGCCTTTACTGTAAGGTTACTGTGAGACACGTTCACTTAAGTTACAGCTTCCAAAACCAAAGACTTTGAAGGTGTAATGAATTTAAGAGCAAGGCTTGACTAAGTGAACTACAGACCAACCAATTGATTCAGAATACAGTAGCTAACCCTGGCATTGTTCAAATACTATTTAAAATGAGGGGCTGTTGTGTAGGATCCAGTTAGCCCTGCTGATATAAGGATATAAGGAACTTGTATGGTTGTGCACAGGTTCCTAAGGTAAACGGTTTTTGCCTTTATTATAGAGAGGCTACGCCAACACTTTAAGCCACTGAGGTGCTTTGTAGACATGATTGACCCACTCATTACCTGGTCTGATGAATAAATAAGTCCGGTATGAAGGTTCCAATGAACACCCAGTCCATGTATTTCCATTTGAACTGTTGTTCTTTCCAATCAGCATACAAAACATGAAATTCTAAACACAACAACTAAGCTTTGGCAGCGAGACATTATGGCCAGCGTATGGGTGTGTGTGTGTGTGTGTGTGTGTGTGTGTGTGTGTGTGTGTGTGTGTGTGTGTGTGTGTGTGTGTGTGTCAAAAACTGTTTACCTTCCGGCGGAACCGCTGCATGAACACATTTCTTTTTTTTTTAAATCAGGTGCGCCAGTTGGCTCCTACTGTACTTGTAAATCCTACAGCCGTGCTATGACTCAAGCTATTTTTAAATAAAAAGTGAAATAAAAAATGTAATCAAAAAAATTGCTTAGCTGAATCAACTCACCCTCAAAAAAGGTTTCAAATACTTATTTTTCGTTTGAATACATAATTGTATTTTTTTTAAGTTCAGGATCAATACATTTTATTTTTTGAATGATCAAAACTTTTGGCCAGGATTTAACTTAAATTGTTGAGCAACCATTCATCAGGCAGGCATAGACTGCCTCTGCAATCACAATCAAACAGTTTGACACAGATTAGGATTAGGGTTAGGGTTATTAGACTCATTTGAGTGTGACATGCAATGAACCTGTTAGCCTTCAGCAGAAACATTTTACGTGGTGATGTCAATTTTTTATAATTTCCAGTTCGGGGGTCGGTTTTACCAAATTGGAAAAATGCCGGCTGATATATTTGCAACACATTTTTAATTCAACCTCATTCGCCTATCAATATAAATTAAGTGAAACTGAGATTGGATTTCATTCACATAAAACATCCCTGACAACCTAGTTGTATTTCCACGTATATAGCTTTAACATATCCTGGAGGTTCTCAAATCTCTAATAGTACGGGTTTCCATTCTGAGCTTGCCAATGTCAAATTAACCATACTAACCTGGGCTTGGTAGAGTCCACCTGGGTCTCGGGGGGTGACTCCAACGAAGGAGGTGCGATTGGCAGGGGGTGTCCCAGGGGCCGAGTATGCTGAGGGCATTTACGTTAACAACATCAGTCTCATACTGTCTCTATATAGTTCCATGTCACTTGTAAAGTTACATGAGGCAGTACTAGAGAATGTGTCCATATCACAAAGGAGCTACAACTGGTTACTAACTACATTGTTAGGGATACTGTAATCCACTCAGTTTCAATTGATTTATTTAAATGTGTTTGATTATCATCTAACATTGGTGAACTCTAGAAATACAACCAGTGCTGTGTTCACACAGATTACCACATTCAATTCATTAAAGTCATACATTTACAATGCACAATGGCATTCTAAGTGAATGTAATATATGATATTTATAATATTTACTGTATTTAGTATATAGTATATATATATATGTTTAAATAGTTTATATATCTATAAATACAAATATGTATTTCCATATAAAAAAGAGTCCCTTATTGTACAGATAGAAAATATTTAAGTGAGACGTACATCACCGTGAAAATCACAGTGGGGGTGCCATTATGTCAACAGGAAGTCATTTCTTCTGACGAAGTGAGACAAACAAAATAACTATTGCCTTGGCTATCATAATGAGGAAACATGTCTTTTAACATTTTGATATGGAATAAATTACTATATCAAACTGGATATATTAGTTTGGATCATACTGGCAGGTTAACTCGTTCATTGTTGGGCTGTTACTTCATATGTAATTTGTTGATTTACAGCTACTATTAATAAGGTAATACACAAATTGCATATTTCTAGAACTGTTTTATTACAACATTTCTACTTTTTGCGACCACTCAAAATGTTTTTACCCTAGTAGGCATTCACACACACTATTATACAATAGTAGCAGATTATTTTATACACTTTCTCATCAGGTGAAACAAACATTCGCTCATTCAAACAGGAGCACACTACCTTCATCTATAGCCGTACTTCATTTGCCATGCCACACAACAATACTGTCAACCGGAGTTTGTTTTGAACACTTACTGGGTGATGTGGGGGAGTTTGCTCCCCCATCAGAGGAGGTGGTGGTAGCCTTTGACTCCGCAGGCAGGGTCGGCCTGGGGAGGGAGGATGGGGGAGGAGCCAGGGAGGGTGCTGGTCCAGTTGGTGCCAACATCTGAGAGGTGATGTAGTGACTGGGCACTTTTACCTGGTTGCTGCCATTCAGCTGGAAAAGTAACAAATACACACTGACAATTAAATTCATATTTGAAATGTGTTGAATCACTGATGTACTATAAAGATGGAAAGTGTAAGAAAAAATAACCTCAAATCATTAACAGAATGTGAAAACATTACAGTGTTGACATTGTGTCTATACTCCTATATATTGTGTTGCAAAGACATCTATTGAATTTAGCATGCTAATCGTTCTAGCCCAGGACTGTCCTGTCCTGTAATACACCATGTTCCTATAGAGGTGATAGTAGTGCCTGTCTGACCTCAGACACAAATATATAGAAGTGGAGCTGCCCTGACCACTTCCATATGGTCAGGGCATTGTAGTAGCAAATGGTGGTACTACAACTAACCATTGAGCCCAAAAATACTTTTTCAATGTGAAAAAGACATTCACTATTGTAAACTTTTTTCAGATAGTCTTTAAAATGAGTTAAATATATATCTTTTTTAAACAGACCTACATATTTTATTTTATTTTATTTTATAATAACGTTTGAACTTCTGTCTAAATTGTATCAACTGTTACTTTCTTTGTCTGTAGATAATGCACATGGCTGTTGCTGCAATTGAAACGTACGGCACTGCAGCTAGCTCGTATTGGATCATGTACATAACCAGAGTGGTTTTGGACTCTCGCATGCAGTAATCTGTCTAACGCTAGCTGTTAGACTGCTAAAGTTTTTGTTCTATTGACTGCTTGTACTCACTGAGCTGGGTGTTTGATTGGCAGGGTCGCAGGCCAAGGACACGAGATCTTTGAGGGGGTCCTGGGTCAGGTGAGGAGGATAGCGGATTGCTCCGTGGGGGAAGTAGGAGGAAGGTGGAAAATGTATAGATGACGAGGGGTGGGGACTCCGTGAAAGACCTGGACAGAAAAAAGAAGAGGGAGAGAAGGAACAATATGGTAAATTACATGCTGTTAAGTTAATTATATATACAGTATTTATGTATGTGTGTTACTGACCACTGTGAACAGCTATGACTGGCCGATGGTGCTGAGTGAAGGAACCCATTCTTGGTGAGTCTTCCTGGGGAGAGGGGTTGTCCAGCTCTGCTTTCTTCACTGGTGGAGATAGACCTAAAACATGAACATGTGGGACTTATTCTTTAGTTCCTGCACATATTCATAATTCATGGCAGTTCATCACATTGACACTTAATCACTTCTTGGACTTTGGCCTTAGCTCCAATGTTGAACAAATGTCAATAAACACATAATAAAACAATTTAAAAGCAGATCACCATGACGCTATCTTAACGACTATTAAGAGAATGTGCTAAATTGATTTATTAGCTCTATCAAAATTCTGACCAGTGCTGTAACTCTACACAAGTGTAGTTTCAGTTCCTTAAATGAATACCACAGATTCTAATGTTATATTCTAATATATTTAAGCAATGAACCACGAGAGGCCATGGTTTACAGGGACTAACTCAAGTATACTGGCATAGAACTTTGAAGTGAATCTTTGAGAATTAACAGAATCAAAAAGAGTAAGCCCGCTGTTGTCTTTTATTCAAGTGCTACAAAATAGAGTCAAGTGCATTTCATTGATAGAGCTCAATACAAGTGCACCTGCTGTTCATAGAGAGGGTGTTGAACAATGATTTGAGTAATTAATAATAATTAGCTGTTATAATTACATTCATGTCTCCACGTACAGACACTGGACACTATACGTCTGTTACCTCCTTCCATGTCATCAGTCCAGTTCCTGGAGCTGCTGGCGGGAGAGGAAGGGGAGTGGTAGTACTCGCCCCCCGGACTGTCAGCCTCTTCCTCCATAGAGCCAGACTTATGGCGCTTACTCCTGCAGATAAACATACATGTTTTTTTTTATCTGTGTGTGTGTGTGTCAGGGTATATGCAGGAATCCTGAAGTCAAATTTAATACCTTTTAAGAGACTGCCAAGGCACAC